TCACGAGGGCAACTACGGATATAAACGTTAGCTGAATCAGCGATGCCCACATCCCACAAATAGAAACAGAAGATAGGAGTAGGAGGAGGCCATTTGCCCTTTCAAGTCTGCTCCACCATTCTTCACGATCATGGCTGATCGTCCAACTCGATAGCCTAATCCTGCTTTCTCCCAATTACCTTTGATCCCTTTTGCCCCAAGTGCTATATCTAGTTGCCTCTTGAATACATTCAATGTTTTGGCATCAACTACTTCCTGTAGTAATGAATTCCACAGGCTCACCACTCTTTGGGTGAAGAAATATCTCCTCATCGCCGTCTTGAATCATCTACCCCGAATCCTCCTCCTGTGACCCCCGGTTCTAGACACACCCAACACTGGGAACATCCTCCCCACATCTACCCTGTCCAGTCCTGTTAGATTTTATAAGTCTGTATGAAATCCCCCTTCATTCATCTGAACTCTAGCAAAATAATCCCAACCTAGTCGATCTCTCCTCATACGTCAGATCCGCCATCCCCGGAATCAGACTGGTAAACCTTTGCTGCACTCCCTCGAGAGCAAGAGCATCCTTCCTCAGAAAAGGAGACCAAAAAATTGAAATAAATTTGCATTAAGTAGTACAAATTATTTCCATCATTTACTCAGAGATTGATATGTTGAGTGCTCATTTATTGAAATATTATTTTGACATATAATTTTGAATTATATCCCCCTTCAAGAGCAAATTATATCCTATGGTTCTTCAGTTTTGAACTAGGTGAAATTTGCTGTGTGTTATCTATTTTATACAGTCCTTCAATTATTCTTAAATCGCAATAATTTCACTGCAGCCTTAGTTGAGAATACACCGAATTTACGTCATCATTGTTGTGACGTAGGTACTTAGTAATTTTGCACATTGCAGAGTTCCACAAACAGCAATTAAATCTATGAACAGATCATGTACTTAAGATTTTAGTTGGGGTTAAATGTGTAGAGCACTGGGTGATTTTCTTGGATCTTGGTCAAATAGTGCTGTGGGATCCTTTTTATTCCAAGAGAAAGGGCAAATGGGTCTTTGGTTTATTACCTCTTCTCCTGTGACTGCAGTAATTCTTCAGCACGCTACTGATGTGCCAGCCTTGATTTATGTGCTCACATTTTTGGAGTGAGTTTGAGGCAATGACCTTCTGATGTGTGAATACAACCACTTACCCCAGGCTGCATTTAGTAGCTGTTGGTACACAGGGCCAAAAGTATTAAATCTTTATTTATGCTCCATAGATTATTTTTTGAATGTGTTCTGTTAAGATTTTAAAACAGCTAATAAAATTCCAAATAATGAACAATTAATTCCACAGAATGTAAATGTGTTAATGCAAATGTAAATGAAACATGCACAGTATTCTATTCTATTCTAGTTGGGTTGGCTTTAATTTAGCGTTGTATAGTATTACATCATCTTGGCTTATGTATACTGTAGTAAACGTCATTTGATAAATCTTGTTGTTCTGGTTTATGTCATAGATGAGCTGATGCTCTTCTCTTGTCTGTACATGTAGGCTGTGGAAGAAATGAATGGCAAGGACCTGAATGGGAAAATGCTGTTTGTTGGACGTGCCCAGAAAAAAGTGGAACGACAGGCTGAGCTAAAAAGAAAGTTTGAACAGTTAAAACAGGAGCGAATCAGTAGATACCAGGTGTGTAATGAAGTTGAAATAAAACCAAAACACTGGAAATACTAACTAGGTCTGCCACTTCTGTGGAGAGGGAAACAATTCAAAGATTTTTCGTCAGAATGAAGATCCTTTGGGATGACCTGATGTTACATAACCACATTTGGAAATTACTCCCTACCATTGTTATTGACGTTGTTTGGGAATAATTTTGAAACTGGGAATCTCTTGATTAATTTTCTGCAGGACACACATACAGGGGCTACTTTTCCTTTTAGCTTTTTCCTTTTTGTAAAATTTGGAGCAGTTACTCTTTAAAGGGGATATTAAAGTACTGCTGTTTATAAATTAAGAGTTCTGTTGGGTGACAGCAAATTATCATAATGTTATTTCAAAAGGAGCAGTGTTCATTTAATAAAATGGGCACATAGGTGCTCAAATCTTTATTTCAATCTTCTGTTAAAGTATTTGTTTTATACATTATTGTTTGTATACTTTGATCCAGTCCAAAGAGAAAATGTTTTTTGGTAAAACTTGAGGGTTTGGTTTTACTTCACATTAAGTAGTTTGACCTTAATGTCTTAGCCAGTGCTGTTGGCAAAATTAAAAGTTTAATGCTAAAATTTATCAGAATAAAGTTTAATATATTGCTATTCCCCTTATCCTCCATTCACCTTGCCCTCCTCCCCTGTCCCTAGTATATGTGGGGAAACTCTGGACATTAATATGTTTTATATAATGTGAGAGGAAAAAATGGCTGTAAACAGGAAATATTAATCAGCTGAAAGTTACATGTTTAATATTTGGTGCAAGATGAGCCAGTTTACCTGCTGCATGGTAATCTACTACAGCAAAGAAAAATTTGCCTAACTCTAGTACTACCATTGGAAAAGAAAAAGGTTATGCATGCAACAAATATACCATTCTGTGCCTTTGTCCATATATAATTCTGTTTGTAAAGTAGCGCCTAGTTCCTGTAACCAGTTCTGATTGTCCATGCAGATCCTGGAGGAGCTGTTGTGCAAAAGTAAAGCTGAGTAAATCCAGATGGGTCTCTTTGAATTGAGGCTTGTCTCTACAACTTTGCAACAGATATACAGATTTTTAGGATTTTTTCCCCTTCTTTTCTTGGAGACCGTGACCCATTCTTTGCCATGGTTCCATGAGTGCAGACAGTTTTTCAGTACCTTCACAATCTATTTCAGAACATTAAGCATCAATGTGTCTTAAAACTTTCATCAATTTTTAGATCAAGTACTTAAGTGACTTCCTCTTTGTGCATTTGGTATCCCTTTTGAAACTGACCTGCTAGGAATTCTAACTCTGTGCACGTTCCTGAGCACAGTCAGAGCAGGCCTGAAAGCACAGTGGGATTTCTTGCATGATTTTTCTTCTTCAATTCTGGCAGGTTTCAGTATTGGAGCGTTCCCAGTAAGTTTATGCCAGAAGACAACAAAAGTGTGTTGAAAAATGTGCTAGTTTTAGAAAATGTAACTATTTTATTGTAATTCACAGCTCACGAAAAAAGATTTTTTGCTTTGAATGCCAAATATAGAAATAGCGTTTTCAGCTTATAATTTGTTATATATTTGAACAGTGAATCAATCAAATGGGTAAGTAAAATACAATGACCTAAAAATGTAAACTTTAAACTTATAAAAGTCATCTGCACCATTTAACTTAGAACATTTTTAATGTTAGGTTTGTGGCTTTCTAGCTTATGTCTGGTTTGTGTTTATTAGAGCATTGATAGTTTTATTACATTAAGTGGGAATAAAGCAGCAGTGCTTTGTTAACCATTTTTATTCTATTTTTCAGCTGCTAGATTTGAGAATGTTAGTTTGGGCTATAACTGTGGAGTTAACAACTTTATTAAAACGTTTTTAGGGTGTAAATCTATACATTAAAAACTTGGATGACACCATTGATGATGAAAAACTGAGGAAAGAGTTTGCACCATTTGGATCAATCACCAGTGCGAAGGTATATTTACTAATTAATGCTAATTATCAAAGCAGAAAAACAAGCAAGGGAAAATAAGTAAAAAGGTCCAAAATTGTTTTTCCTAATTTTAAGTTTCACTCTTTAATAATAGTTCACTATTTTTTTAATGTTTTGAAACATCAGTGTCCCTAAATGAATTGTATTCAAGTGCATTGTCAGCACATCCGAAGAGCTCATAGCCTTCTTTCTTGCTCAGAGTGAGACCATCTGTTTTGCCCCCTCTTAGTGTTCCCATCTCTACTTGACCAACCACATCAAACTTGAGTTTGACATTTTCCCCACCCCAACCCTCCCCTTGAATTCACATATTTCCTTAGTTTTTCTCCTATCTCCCATGTTAATCTTGCCCATGCAACCCACCTCCTCTGTCCTTGACCCTATTCCCATTAAACAACTGACCACCCAAATTCTCTTTCTGGCTCTTATCATTAGTGGTTCTCCAATCCTATTCCCTCTCTCAGATCTCTTCAGATACTGTCCAACTGCCCTTCAAATCTGCCACCATCAATCTGTGTTTTTAAAAAAAAAAATCCTTTTACCCCTCTGACCTTGAAAACTGCTGCTCCTTTGCGCTTCAGAGTCCTTGAACTTGCTGTTGCTCCCAAAGCTGTTTTTCTTATTTTCTTGTTTGAATTCCTTCAATAAGGCTTTTGCTCTACCACAGTACAGAAACTAGCCTGAAGTTAAAAGTGACATTCTATGTTAATGAATGTCTTTGTTATTCTCAAACTTGCTGCCACCTTTATGGGTTTATCACATTAACCTTCCCCAAATGTCCTGCAGTATTGTCCAACTGGATGGGACTGTACTCACTCGGTTCTATTCTTCTCTCACTAATCATAGCCAGTGATTCACTTGAACTGACTTCTGACCGACTCATGTACCATTACCTCTGGTGAAACCAGAATCTATCCTTCACCTTGTCCTATTACACATCTACATACTGCCCTTTTATTTGATTTTGATTTTATTATTGTCATATGTACTGAGATACAGTGAAAAGTACTGTTTTGCATGCTATCCAGGTAAATCATACCTTACATAAGTACATCACAGTTATAGAACAGAATGCAGAAGATAGTGTTATAGAAAAGAGCATTGTTAGTAATTCTGACAGACTTAAAATTGAGATTTAAAGGGATATAGTAGATGTAAGAAGACAATCCGCTAGGGACAGTGCGCAAAGAGTTGCCACGCTCTGTGTCATTTTGCGTAATGTAACAAAACATAACATCATACAAAACATCATAACATTATAACAGCAAACAAAAACAGTGTCACTTTTCATATGTATACTAACGACTCACCTTCATTTCCCTCCTTCCCTCTTCACTCACTCTAATTTGTCAGACTACTTACTGACGTCTAGTACTGGACAAGTAGAAGTTTCCTCCAAGTAAACATTGGGAGACTGAAGACATTGCCTTTATTCCCAGTTACAAATGCTATTTCAAACCTCCAATCCCATTGTCTCCATCGCAAAAAAAAAAATAGAGACTGAGACTGCTAACCCTGTTTGATGATGTCACTGCTGGATGTCAGGGGATCCCTTTACATAACATTTGTTTAAACTGACAGCAGGAAAGGGGAACTCTGTTTCATTGAGGTTGCTAGATTTTTGTTATCGGGTTTCTTTGAGTTTGTTGGTCTGCTGGCTGCGCATAAATCAATGTGTATAGGTAAATCAATGTGTATAGGTTAATCATGCATTGTAATCTCCATCATTGTTTTTGAAGGCTATCCAGTTCAGACCTGAGGTTAAAATTTCACGGTTGCAGTGGTGGGCCCGTCCATTGACAAGAGAGCTGATAACAATCTTGCTCTGTCAAAAATAATTCCCAGTAAGGCAGCTCACAACTTCTGTAAGGGTTCCTGGCTCCAACAGAGAAATGTCCTGTTGTAATTTCTGATGCAGGGCAGGTATCCTGTTGAGAGTTGTCAGCTGATCAGAAGCTGTCGACTTTACAGGGTATGCGACTTCACTGGGAAAGGTGGCCGCAGGAGGCTTGAGGATGGCACTTGTTTCTGGAGCCTCTGGGTAAAGTTAAATGGGATGAGCTAGTTGGAGGCCCCAGTAAAGGGAGTGGGGGGAGCTCATTGTGAAGGGTGGGATGGATATCTCCCTGTGGCCCCACCAGCTGATCCGTCTGATAAACACAAGATTCTCGAGAAGGGGGGACCCCCATATCAGACTGCAGGCTTGCCTAACAGATTTTGTGTGGCACCCACCTGACTGATATACAACCAGTGCCAACCTTAAGGCCATTTAGTGGCCTCCTTATTGGGAAAAGTGAGAAAGGTAACAAGATCGCCATTTCCAGCCCACCCATCCTATTTTATGGCTCCCCACCTCCCAACCAACTTCTGGGGCTGCATTAATTTCGCCCTCAGTTTCTATAATAATATATTGGGGTGATGGATGGTGGATACACTTATTTAACCCAACTGACTCAGATATAGGGAGTTTGTCAGTTGTGAGAATAGGCTACAGGGTACGAAGGGCATTTGGTCTTTACTCTGTTCCTTTTCACAGTTGTATAATTAAGATAATTTTAGTCATAGATGCCGTTAATTAGCTCTTACCCACACTATGTAGTCAAGATCCAAGATTATGCTGGGAATGGCAAGTACAAACCTATTTTCTGCCACAGTTTCTTTCTTATTACAAACTTTAAATTTTACTGCAACTTATTTTTACTATTTTTAAAGGTAATGCTGGAGGATGGTCGAAGCAAAGGTTTTGGCTTTGTCTGCTTTTCCTCTCCTGAAGAAGCCACAAAAGCTGTAACGGAAATGAATGGACGTATTGTTGGTTCCAAACCATTATACGTAGCCCTTGCCCAAAGGAAAGAGGAACGCAAGGCACATTTAACTAATCAGTATATGCAACGAATTGCAGGGATGCGGGCCATGCCGGCCAATACAATCATTAACCAATTTCAGCCAGCTGCAGGAGGCTACTTTATGCCAGCTGTACCTCAGGTGAGGTCACATTGGAATTTTTGTCCTCTTTGCACTCAGAACAGAAACTGACAGGACAGTATAGTCTGGGAAATCTGGTGGAAATTAGTTCTGCCAGATTCTTGTTGATTTTGGGTCTTGCTGTATATTCTAGTCAGGTCTAGGTATCTGAAGCTCCCAGTCAAAGCAGCTGGGAGCCTCAGAAGTATGCGCAAAAGGGACAAGGGGGAGAAAGTTGCATAATTTACCTATCCATGTTCATGTTAACACCGAATCCCCACCATGGCCAGTGAAACCTGGTAAAGAGAACACTCTGGATAGGCATGCAGGTTTTAAAGATAAGCAACCTTTCTTGTAATTGTTTTTCTGTTAATTTTCTAACAGCTGGAACTTGGGCTTTCATCAGCCTTGTGCCACTTGCTTATATTATGGCCCTACCATGATGAGCTGCCTGGCAAGATGGCCTTGTCATTTTGGAAGAGGGACAGCCCAGACAATTTAAAAGGAGCTAGGCTTGAACTAAATACTGATACTTATAATTTTGACATGTCCTTGGTTTATCTCCATGTATTTAACTTGTGTGTTATTGCATATTTTTTCTCCTTTTTCTTAAGACTTTAAAATTTGTTGGGCTAAGTCCTCTAGTGCCCCCTTGGCCAGATTTTGGCAAACTTCACAGGAGAATGGAGTGTCACAGCTGAAGCATATCTTCTACTGTGACTAGAGAACTACTCACATCTATTTTGCCAGAGGATAATGACTGTGTGCAAACATCACAGGAATTCTTCCACTGTGAAACCTCAATTCACTTTTCTGTGTTTTTCTTTTCCCAGCCCATTTGAGGGTGGTTTGAAATCTAGAATTATTTTTCTATGCTTTGTACTCCATAGATTTCTTAAAAATGTTTTCCTTTAATTCTCTTCCACTATTAGATGATCCGTAGAACACTCTAGTCATGATCAATACTTTCTTACCCTTTATTTCAATGCATTGCTGCCTAATTAGAGAACAAAATTAATTAGCTGTCAGTTAAATACTTAACATATGGTACAAGAGGAAGCAGTTTATCTGACACCATAGTGATTGACTGTAGCTAAGGCACATCTAACTATAGTACTGCTGTAGAAATAGTGAAGGCTTGAGGATACAGCAGATGTACAGTTATATAGCTTTGGCCATATATAGTTCAACGTGTAATGGAGCACTTGATTCCTGTAACCAGTTCTGATTGTCGTTGCAGACTCTGGAGGAGCTGTTGTGCCAAAGCAATGCTGAGTGAATCCAGATGGATCTCTTCTAAATTGAGGCCTGTCTCTACAACTTAGCAACAGATATCAAGTTACTTTTATATAATAATATTAGGATTTTTTTTGGTCCTCTTGGAGACTATGACTCATATTTGAAATATGGCTGCGTGAGTGCAGAAGACCTAAAGACTTTGCAAGCCTTGTAACATCGTGCCTGTAATTAATCACTATGCCACCCCAATGCAGGCTGTTCACCATGGTTTATATGGACTGAATCTTACTAGAAATTGGCAAAGTGCCATTTTTGGCGAGTTTCATGGATGGTTTCTCTGTGAGTTTTCATCACGCCATCTTTCAAAACTCATCTCATTACATATGCATCACACTCCTATCGTTCCCCCACTTATCGTATTTTCCCATTTGCTACAGGCGGAAGTTCTGACCACTGCTGGGACCTCTCAGGATTCCTGCACTGCTGCCATCTCTAAAGCCCAGCTGTGCACCTGGTCACACACTGGCAGTTCACAGCTGTCCCGTACAATTCCTGTCAATTGCCCCAGACATGTTTCACAGAGAGAAATTGACACTCTGCTTTTCCAGTGGGGACCTGGAGATCTTGCTGGACAGGGTGTGTGTGGCTGCCGCCAGTGGTGTGTGCTCTGAGATGTTGGTGACTGATGGAGCGCTGGGTGAGCAAACAGTGAGCTGGAGTTGCAGGGTTACCATTCTGAGTCTCATGTCAGGAATTGTTGCTGTCTATTTCTGGTTGGTTGGTGGGAGAATGGGAAATTGAGTATCAATGAGATGAGATGCCATAACATGAGGATGATCATGCAAATAGGCCTCTTGACACTCACCAATGAGAGTCTTGTCTCACCTTTCAACACTTGTTTGGATAATAGGACATTTTGCTCTTGACGTCAGGAATCCTCTTGCCACCAATCTCAAGGATAATTCTCCTGATTTTTTTTCACTAATGCCTACATCATTCAGTAACTGAGAAGATTCCACCCTATAAGTCTTTTGTTTTAATTAAGAGTAGCCGTAAAGTCAGAACATTTAGCATGCTTTTGAACATTTTTTTGATTTCATGTAGAAAGAATTTAGCTTTTTTTAATATCCTATCAAATAATCCAGGAACACTTTGCACCTAACGTTTTTTGATCTAAGTATAATAGTTATTTGTGTGCCTATAACTCTTTTGTAAGCATAGTACAGTGTTTCACTATTCTTTAAAGGAGCGCTACCAGCCAGAGTTTGACACCTAAGCCACGTAAAGAGAAATTAGAAGTCTTGGTCAAGAGGGGTGGCATGGTGGCTCAGGGGTTGGCACTGCTGCCTCACAGCATCGGGGACCCAGGTTCGATTCCAGCCTCAGGCAACTGTGTAGAATTTGCAGTCTCCCTATGTCTGTGTGGGTTTCTGCTGGATGCTCTGGTTTCCTCCCTCAGTCCAAAGATGTGCAGGTTAGGTGGATTGGCCATGGTAAATGCAGAGTTATAGGGTAGGGGGTGGGATGCTCTTCAGATGTTCAGTGTGGACTCAATGGAACGAATAGCCTGCTTCCACGCTCTGGGGATTCTGTGATTCTGTGAACATCTCATAGGAGAGAGATGGAGATCCCACTGAGGAAATGAACAGATTATTAACTTTTTTGTCTTTTTAAGCAGAGAAACTCAATCATTTACATAGCAAAATATGAAGAGATACAACTACAAGAAAGCTGATGCTAGACATACTTGTATCAAACCAATCTAAATGAAGTCCTTGCAAAATGATGAAACAACTCTAAAGCATTTTTTTTTCTTTCATCACATTGCATTCTTAATTATTGCAATCATTATGAATGTGTCAGAGCCGCTACATTGCCTCTGGTTGTAGTAACTATAAAGACTGTATATATTTTATTTCCTGGATGTTTGACTGTGGACTGGAAATGGACTGTTTTAAAAACCAAGGGTTGTGGTAGGAATTACTGCACTTTCTAAAGCAAGTTACCAATACTTAGAAGGTGAGTTTTACACTGCTGCTTGTTCAGCCATTGGGGGAAAATTAGTTGCTGTTGAATTGGCATCAGGGAGTGTGTACAAAGTGAGATTTGGCCAGCCACAAGGAGCTGATTGGTCTAGAGAGGTGTGATCAGTTGTCGATGACAAATCTGCTTTCTTGCCAATGACTATGTAATTAGCATGTCTGAAGGGTCTCTAAGGGCCCCTGACACAAGGACCCCTGAAGGGTCACTGGATCCAAAACATTAATTTTGATTTTATTCCACAGATTCTGTCAGACTTGCTGAGATTTTCCAGCAATTTCTATTTTTGTTTCAAATTTCCAGCATCCGTAGTTCTTTTGACTTTCTTGACTATGTGATTAGCTCCTAGGTAGCTGAATGTTTGCCAGTGTGAACAATATGGCCAGAAGCCTTCAAACTTCCAAAAGAGGAGGCGGTCTCTCTCTCTCTCTTTCTTTGTGCAGTAGAAGGCCAGTTTACTTACCCTCACCGGTTGCTGTAAACTGTGGCTTTTAACCAGGAACTAAGAGATTTTATAATCTGTGCTTCTTGCAAGGAAGTGAAAAAAACTTGGACAAAAGAAATCAATGAACAGCTAATTTTTAAAAAATCATCTCTGCAAACCCTTGGACAGGGACGATTGAATTTCCTTTCCAGTTTTTCCTTCCACACACAGCAATTATTTGTCTGTATGTAAGTGTAGGGGGAGTTTATAAAAAGGGGGGGGGTTAGAGTTTTAACTGGTAGTTATATGCCTAAGGTTCATAATTGTTTACCTATAGTTAGAATCTATTCATTATTATTTAAATAATAATCTTCATTAAGTACGAAAATCTGGTTCATGAATCTGTTACCTGAGTCTAAATGGACACACAAATTGGGGAACTTGCAAACTTTCATATAAAATCTTTAACTTCTGAGATGATTGGAACAGCAGGGCTTGATTTCTAGTGATGCGTGATGTAACCTATATGTGGTTGAGCTCTATTTTCCCCAGGAATCTTTGAGATATATAGTATAACTATAGAACTAGTTTGCATGGAGCTTGCTTTGCAGTTTCATAACTAAATTATAATTTGAACTTGTTTTATACCATTTGTGGAGGAGTAGTTTGCCTGCTGATGTAATTTCTGTGTTCTGCTTTGGGTATTGCCTCAGTCAAATTAACACTGGAACTAAACATGCAGTGAGTAAACTGACACGTAATTAGTAGGAGAAAAGTTTTGTAACCAAGTTAGCAAAACCAAATAGAACAATGCACTAAAGAAGGGCTTTAGCAGCTATTGAAAATGACACAGTAATTAAAGTACAATAAAATGAATGTACAATTTACACAACTTAAGAATTTAATTCCTATTAGAACTAATTATGAAGAAAACGATCTGGGGGTTTTAAGCCATGGAAGAAGTGTATTGCTGAAAGGGTAAAACAAGTTCTGGTTTCATTCCAGGCCCAAAGTAGAGCTACATATTATGCACCAAATCAGATGGCTCAGATGAGACCCAGTCCACGTTGGCAACAGCAACAAACCAGGCCCCAAGGTATGCATCTTTATCATGATTACTCGTTTAAAATTAATGAGGCATGTTGTATATGAAAGAAGATATTGGGTATTACAAATATGTCAAATTCAAGGAAATGTAGGAAAAGCTTCCTAACAAAAGATTTTCCTCTTTTTCTTGTACACTTCCTTTCTTAAAAAAAGCACTTTCACTACTACACTTTTTCGGTATTTCTAACATAAAAGTTGGGATTTCCTCAGTGGTTAAAGATGGTATTTGATATGGTACTAATGTAATGGCTCAAGGAAGCGCCAAGAAATATCCTTCTATTGAACTGAGTTGGTCTTTGTCTTCACTCTGTAGTGAGATTTCTATTTCAGGTAATTTAGTGTAGGGAGCAGAGGGAGGTGGGTATTTTCTGGCTGACTCCCAGCAGCTGTCCAGCATGCAATGTTATTGGGGAATAATGTGAACTGGTAGCCTAGAACTGGCATCTAAGTTAGCAGTAGCCTGTGTTAAAAGATGCCAGCTTGCCTAGTGGTCTTGGGCACAAGACCATTTATAGCATTTACACTTAAATTTCTTCTAGGGATGATTAAATCTGGAAAGAGAAGGTAAATTCAGTTTATTCACAAGTAATTCAAATACTGATCCCATTTATCAGTAAGGAATATGCAAATACCGATGCATTCATGTGTTCTTGACTCTTACTTTTGTTGCAATTATGTATCTAGTTTGCACCTGTAGATTTTTTAAAAAAAACACAATTAGTGACATTCAGTAAAATGTTCACATTAACAACTAAATAAGTTAGTTGTTGAATTGCAGTTTGGTCTTTGGAAGACAACAGATTGTGGTGCTGTGTAGCTTGGAATATTAACACTGTTACTATATGTAACTGAAAATACTTCTCAAAATTGAGGATTCTTAATTCGTGTAGGTCATACTTCATTTTAACAATCTAGTGGAAAATTCCTGTTATGTAAGAACAGTCTGTAATGTTGTATGTTTATGTAGGTTTTTGTTGTATGCTTATGTAGGCTTTTGATTTGCAGTATTCAAGTTGTGACTTGTGCACAAGTATGATGGTTTTTGACAGCTCACTCAAGTCACAAACATAAATATGAACTGGCACAATTTCTCAGGTTTTAAGCAATGTCCCCTGTAATTTTCCTTTTGCTGTGTATAGCCTGTTGCATTTCATATCATTTATGACCATTATATGGCTACTCACATTCGCATTTTAAAGTAGCACTGGTTCTGCGCAACCTGTTTATTCCAGTGTGCAGCTGTACAACTGCACTTTCTTGATGGGAACATTAGGGTAATTTAGTGTAAGAAGGCAATCTTTTAAAGAGCCATTCTTAAAAATTCAACATTTAAGTTGACTGCAAATTTTACAGCACAGATCTGAATTCATTTCCAAGTTGCAGTTATGCAGCGACAAAAACTGTGCATACTGGAAATTGGAAATAAAAACAGGAAATTGCTGGAATTTCTCAGCAGGTCTCACTGAATCTGTGGAATGAGATATATAGGTCATCTACTTGAAACGTTAACTTCATTTGGGAAATGCTGTGCTTGGTTTCAGAAGCCTTAAGATTTTTATATACATACATAATTATTTTTAAAAAATATGTTATTTTATTGGTTTCAGAACCTGTTTTTTACTTCCACAGGGTTCCAAGCCATGCCAAATGCCCTTCGTCAGGGAGGTCCTAGGCCTTCTCTGCGTCACTTAACGCCGACAGGAAATACTCAGGGTCCTCGAGGTATTCCTGGTGCACAGAGAATGGGTGAGAGTTTGTTGCTATGAAGCATTTTGTAATATTAGTACATCTTCAAATAACCCGAAAAGATATAAAGAATTACAAAAGCGATTATAGTGCCAGTTGAGGAATGCTTTCATGAAAATGTATGAATGCATGGCAAGTAGGTGAACAGCCTCTCATATCTATTACATTCAGAAGATAATTTATTTTAAATAACATGAAATTTTACTTGCATTCATTTTTAATAACCTGGAATCATGGTTTTGGAAATTTGGGAGTAAATCTTAAAGCTAATGTAGTGTCTGTTCTTATTATTCATATCTAATGAAAGAATTGTAAAGTTCCTCTCCTTATATTGATTGATGTACCATTGTTTGCTGATGTTCCTGTTTAACAAGTTGTGATTCTGATAGGGCTGGTTTCTTGTATATGAACTTTTGAACCAACTGCAGGAGGTCCTGGTGTTACTTCCTCTGATATTCTCTTTGGAGGAACTGAACCATCCCAACAGCAACAAAAAATGGTGTTCTTAGATGCGGAATGAATGCCGATTTCAGTCTTGCTCTTTCTGGCTATCCAGTGAATTCTATCAAAAGTGCAGATATTTGACATTAAGGGCATAATTTTGGATCTTGGGTCAGAATCCTTATGTCAGGGTGAGGGGGGAGGGGTGTCATGCAGTGTGTGCCATGTACAAGATATACTGGAGCGAGTTTCTTCCTCAAACCTGCGACTTCTACTGCTTAGAAGGGTACGGGTAGCAGATGCATGGGAACACCATGACCAGCAAGTTCTTCTCCAATCCACGCACTGTCTTGACTTGGAACTATATTGTAATTCTTACATTGTCATTGTACCTATACCCTGTAGACCACAACAGTTCAAGAAGACTGCTCATCGTCTTCTCAAGGGCAATTGTGAGTGGGCAATAAATGTTGACCTAGCCAGTGATGGCCACATCCTATAAAAAAAATTTTTAAATCCTGCAATTAAGTGAGAGAGGGGGTGTCCTCAACTTGAAGTTCTCTCTTTGCAATCTTTAAAAATTTCAAGTTACATATTCATGGTGCCTCAGCACCTGTGCCAGCATTTTATAGGAGTGCCCCTCCACAGAAAGAGTTTGAAAGCTTCCTAGTGTGCTGGCCCCTGGGTCTGCTGGCTCCAAGTGACAGGCCTGGTCCCTAATGTCCCAGGGATGTGGCATACTGACTGGAAAATTCCAGTGGGCCTCTGTTAATTGGCCGAAGTGGACATTTACCTATCATTTGACTACCTGTTACATGGGGGCAGTTAAGTCTTGCAACACCAATCCATCCTCCAGGAAACAGGCTTGATGTTGAAATGATGTTGGCTGGTTGTACAAATTTCAGCCTTGAATGCAGATGAAAATCCAGCCCTCATTTGTCAGTATTAGGCTTGGTACTGATGTCCCTCCTAGTCAGTAGCACTTTTCACACCTTTATAGTCTATCAAATGCTGGATCATCAATAGAGTACATTTTGAAGCTAAATTACTGCTGTAATATAGGCAAATGTGGCAGCCCACTTACACACAGTGAAGTCCCACAAACAGAATGGAGGTAAATGGCCAGTTAGTATTATCTAGTGATGTTGGTTGAGGGATACATGTTGAAATTAATTCATACAGAATTCGAGCATGCTCTTCAAACAAATTAATTGGATCTTTTATATCCATCACAAGACTACAGTTTAAAATCTCACCTAAAACCAGGCACCTCTGACAGTGGTGTGCTCCTTTGGCAATGTTAGCCAAGATTAATGTATTCAAGATTTTGGAGTGAAGCTATGAACACTTGATACGCTGACTTAGGTGAGAATGATGTCAACTTTGCAGCTGAAAACACTCCAGTTATTGTTAACAAATGACCACTTAATGAGATACAATATCTAGCTGAAATTGGCACACAGAGAACAAGATGGGAGAAAACTGATGGGTTCCTTTTTATGGAATTGAGCTACAGAAGACGTTAACATCTTAAATTTGAGCTCTGGTCTCTGTGTCACTTAATCTCAGCCTTGAAAGTAGTAGGTGGTATGGCAATTCATCTACTCACTCAGATTAAATATGAAAAATTAGTCAGAGTATTAATGCCTTATTTTTTACAAGGTTCCTCCAAAGCAATAAGTGATGGCTTTTCATAAGCCTAATAATAATTGTGTGGTTTTACTCATGTTACTAGTGTATTAATTACCTATCACGAAAACTGCATCCCTTGCCTTAAGGGATGATTTGTTCAGTATAATGATAAATACTGATCTTTCCGTAGAAATTTCACTTATGTCTTTGTTGTTTCAGGATTATCAACGACTCAGAATCTGGCTCATCGTCCTGGAATTGCTGGCCCGACACCAAGGGGTGTTCCGCCTTATAAGTATGCTCCCAGTGTCCGCAACCCACAGCAATCAGTAGTTCAACCTCAAATGGCTGTACAACAGGTACTATAAGTTCATGAAATTTCCATTCAGATATTGATAGAGTATTACCTGAATTGAGTACATGACAAACTGCACTAGTATAATCTAGAGATAGTAGGAACTGCAGATGCTGGAGAATCTGAGATAACCAGATGTAGAGCTGGATGAACACAGCAGGCCAAGCAGCATCAGAGGAGCAGGAAGGCTGACGTTTTGGGCCTAGACCCTTCTTCAGAAAATGACCCTTCATTTTCTGAAGAAGGGTCTAGGCCCGAAACGCCAGCTTTCCTGCTCCTCTGATGCGGCTTGGCCTGCTGTGTTCATCCAGCTCTACACCTTGTTATCTCAGATTCTCCAGCATCTGCAGTTCCTACTATCTCTGCAAACACAATCTGCTTACTTTTGGCAAATTCCTGCATTCTCTCACTGTTTTCTTTAATGATTGTTTAAGGTTTCAAGAAGGGACAATGAGCTACCTCAGCTCATTATTTAACACGTGTTCCTTAAACTCAACTCTCCGACTGCTTTCTGTTTCTGGAGTTTCCTTCCAAACAACTCAGGACATGTTTTTCCACCATGACTGCTCTGCTGACTGCTACTAACAGACCCTTTCTTGCTGAATAAACACTGCATGCCACCTGATGTTCTCAATTGGTGTCTCTCTGTAACACTGGACTCCAACCCTGATCCAGACCTACAGGCAATGGAACCAATAGTAAACTCAGCCCCTTCAATCCTGAAGAGACCAATCAAGCAAAGTCTGACATAGTCAAACTCATCGAATTATACCTTACACACACTGTCTCAGAGAATTACTGATGAATCCTACCCGCAGGGCAGAACTGAGGCAGCACAATCAGGAGGGAGTTACCCTGGGAACTTCAGTGCTGCCAGGCCCTCATTAAGTCTCATGGCATTAGGTCAAACGTAGGAAGGAAACCTCCTGCTGATTACCACATCCCCTCAGCTGATAAATTAGTACACCTCCATGTTGAACAGTGCTTGGAGGATAAACTGAGAAGTGGCAAGGTTGCAGGATGTACTCTTGGGGGAGATCTTCAATGTGAATCACCAAGAATGACTTGGTAGCACCCCTGCTTACTGGACTGGTTACATCTTCTAAAAGGACATACCTGCTATATGGGATATGTGGCAGGTGGTGAGGGAATCAACAAGAAACAAAAACATATTTGACCTCATCCTTATCAGTCTGCCAGCTGTAGATGTATCTGTCCATGACAGTATCAGCAAGAGTGATCAACACACAGGCCTTTTTCAGACAGTTCTTTCTTCAAATTGAGAGTACCTGACATCATGTTGTGTGGCAGTATCACTGTACAAAATGGGATAGATTTTGGCATCCAGATCTCAGGCCTGGGCATTCATGAGGTGCTGAGGGCCATAAGTAGAACACTATTCGAGTGCAGAGATAGTAGGAACTGCAGATGCTGGAGAATCTGAGATAACAAGGTGTAGAGC